TATAAATAAAAACTACCTTTAGAATGATTTTAGTTAGTAAATTCATTTAAATTAAAGAAGAAAAAAGTATTTACAGTAGGGTTTCATAATTTTAAATGTAATTTTTTTATGTATTATTTTAATTAAATGTCCAAAAATTTAATTTTTTTTTGCTAAATTTTAAGTGCATTTATTTTTTTATCTTTAATGCATATTTTAATACATTAGTGCATGTACGAGTATTTGTATATGTTAAAATTTTTTTAGGGCAATTCGGTTGGATTTTAGTGCATATAAATCCATGCTTTAGTAATAGCTATAACCAGCTATTTTGTTCTTATTTTAAAATAATGTATGTTAATTATTAGAGGGACACTGCCTCTTCTAATTAATTCTAGGAGGGGTAATTCCCCCACCCAGTTTACCACAATGAATTAATACATGGTCAAATATGGCCTAAAAAATTAAATATAAAATCTGTCAATGGTGTCAATTGAATTAAAAGTTTGTCTTCTAAAATCAGATGTATTTTAGATCCTCCATTATACCTGTTCCTATTTGTATTGCAGCGTGGTCTAAGATGATTGGCAACGCAGCACCCGTGACGTGGCTTATAATACAAAACTGACAAATTAACGTGGAAACCAAGGTCAAATAAAAATATTGGAACTGTTGAAATTTTTTATTTTTCACGCACTATTTCATAATAATAATAAAAATAATTTTTATTAGTTCGTCTTTCATATAATTTTCATATGTACGTTTTTCCTTGTACGAACGCGAATCACAAATTAAAATCCCGCATTCGCGTTGTCTTGATTTGTTATGGACTATTTTACTTCGTAACCGCAGTATATTGCATCATTTAGTCAGTATTTATTTCAAACTAGTATCGAAAGTTAATATAAAATACTTATGAACGGTCATCTAAAACATAAGCAAGTATAAAATGAGTATTGTATTTATTTTAAAAAAAAAAAACAACAAAACATTTGCAACGCGTATTTTAGATCACCGACGGCGAAAGGAAAACCAACTGGGTACATTTAATTTACATAATATCAGTAATCACGTGATCTTAAGCCGCATTCATGCTGAAGAAGCACGCAAAAACTGAGGATGTTTTCTAATGTTGTGCGTCGTAATAATTACCATATTTATTATTCAGTATGGGCATGAGTATCGCTATCGTGCGCACGATTATAGTAGCTATATTTATTTAATAATCAATATTACTCTTTTAAATAAAAACTGTTCGAAATAGAGTGGAATAAAGAATCGTGTGAAATTGTTGAAAAGTCATTAAATTAGGTTCATAATCGCAATGCCGAAATAAATGTGTTGTCCAACATCTCAATTTTTTTCATTTGCATTTTTTTTTTTTTTAATATAGCGGATAGTCAAATACGCTACAATTACAATTTTTAGTTCGTATTTGATTAAAATATTATTGATTTGAATGTCATGATTTAAAAAAATGTGTATCAACACTATAGTGATAATAATAAATTTAATACCTACATTAAATTATAATAATTTACAAATAATAACATGCACTATATACGGTTATCAAACAACTGAATATCTGGAATGCAGATTTATCACATACATACATTTTAAGCGTGACAAAGACCATACTGATCACATATTCTCGGTCTGTGCATACAGGGCCGTAGCAAGGAAGTGGTGAGAGGTAGGACCGTAGCAATGAAGGGGGTTAGAGGTGCCTACGCCCCGAGCGCTATTTCTGGGAGGGCGCAAAAATAAAAAAATTTGCAATTTAATTGTTATAAGTTATAACTTATTACTTATGAGTAAAAGTAATAATACGTATTTATGTACTTACATATTTACTTATATAACTTAAAATTATAATTATGTTTTTCCTATGTACCTACTTATAATTATAATATATATTTTAATTTTAATAAGTTATTGATTCAAATAAAATTAATAAACGCTTACATAATCATAAAAAAAATCATTGTTTATATTGAGTTTAAAAAAATATTCAATTTTTTTGTGAATTTTTTTTATAAATTTAAATACTTAAGGACGCATTTTGAAGTTTCGCCCCGAATATAATATTTGATTGCTTCAACCCTGGTGAGAGGTGCCTACGCCCCGGACGCAATACCTGCAAGAGCGCAAAAATTAAAATCTTGCATTTATTGTTAAAAATTACATCGATCAATGTCTTATATTTTGTTTACAAAATCTTTAACATCCTTCATATTAATTAAAGCAATCATTGAAGATAAAATCTAATAAGCATAATTTTTTTAGATTAAAAATACGTTAGGACGTATTTTAAAGTTTCACCCCGGGCGCAATGTTTGGTCGCGTTCGTAAACGATCAAGGGAATACGTACCTTTCTTTACGGTGTGTCCTAGGTGAACGCGATTTTGCGAGTGGACGTGCGGGTGGGCGACGTGATAAAATTCAAAATAGATTTTGCATTTGGAATGTCTTATTTAGATGATGAACAGGCGGGCGGGCAATAACAATATTATCGCTCGCGTCAAAACAAAAATGTTTGTTTCTGACGCGGGTGATTAGCACTATTTTCTGTGTATGTAGCGCACGCCAATAGATCACTCGCTCGCGTCAACTGTCCACTCGCAAAATCGGATTCATCTAGGATACACCGTTAGGACAACAAATGTTTAATCTTCGAACGGGCACGTTGAACAGTTTTGTACATAGAACACTAATTTAATTCCAATACCAGAACGATGAAAAAATAATATTCTACTCGAGTCCCGATTACAAACAAAAAAATACTATCAAGTCGGGAAATGTTGAACTATTTATTAAAATTTGACTATTCGAGAATAAAATAATAGCATACGAATTGAATCCGAGGATTATTTTGAGTAAAATATAAAATCAACGTCCAGTGTCCATACACAGCGGAAATTATACCACACAAAATCAATATATATTTCGTCATGTGACGTGCAACGTAGCGAGGGTATACATCAGCAACATCGTAACCCCGTCGATAGAGACAGTGGCGTATTTACGGAGAGGGATATGGGGGATAGATCCCTCCATGACCTATTTTGTTTTTTTATATAGGTAGTTAAGTTGTCTCATTTTCTGTATTTCTCAAGTATGATATTACTTTTAAGTATGTCTGCTTTCTAAATGTTCTAGTCGTGGTTATTGTACCGCTCTGATATACTATATATATCGTTGGCGGAATATGCGACTATCGGGCAGCAACCTATATATTATATGGTGCACTGTATTTTGTTTCTGCGAATCATTTTTCATGCAAGAGTGTTTATAATTAACCCGATAAGCAGTCGCTAAATATGATCACCATGGAATTACCTAGGGCGGGTTTGTTTTTACAAAATTTGTTACTAGTTTATTATATATTTGATAGGGTATATACAATACGGTCGTCAACTGCCAATTTACGGGTGTAAATGTATTATATATTTCATCCCTCCCTGTCAAAATTCCTAAATACACCCTGGATAGAGAGACCACCATAATTGTAGCGAACGCGAGTTAGTAGGTACACTCGTATTTAAAATTTTTTTTTTAAATGAAACTTGTTTGCGCAATTTGAGATTTCACATTTTAAGGCCGTGACAGGCGCTATCGGAACGAAAATCCATTACGATTATTGTATTGTTGGGCACGGGCTCGGACTCGCTGGGCTGCGCGAACGGACGCGCCGGCGCCGACAACAGATCATTCGCTTAAAATGCGTAGCACGTTGTCACGCACGTACGGCACACACACGCACACATTCGCATGGGCGTGGCCTCGTTCCGCTGCGCGGTCGGACGCGCCGCCGCCGCCGCCGACGTGAACTAAATCGATTTAAATGCGTAGTACGTTGTCACTCACGTACGCACATTCGCGCACGCATACAACGCACGAAGCGTGTACACGGTCCTTCCGGACTCGACATGGCTGCCGATGGGTGTTCGTAGATGACACGTAGAAATACGCGACCCTCGTCGACGCGTATTTGTGTTCATCGAACGTTTTCTACTTGATTTCAACTTGCTATTACGATACTATTACACACGTTGTATACATACGAATTAATTAAATATAAGTGTGTTGAGAGGCCGCGCGTACATCGGAGTAACCCATGTTAATCGAATTAAACCTGGTATATCGTTTACGGGCAGCGAACGTCACGTGTTCGAATTATGACGCCCGACACTCATGAGATTTATACTGAATTTTAGTACCGGTCTACAGTATAGAAACAAAACTAATCGATTAAAATGTTCATACGTAACGAAACACATCGGTCAAAAGTAATGCTCTGCACTGTGCGCACATTTGACGCGAAACGCGCTCCTCCGATGTACGCGCGGCCTAAAACGTCTACGTTACACAGTGGCAGCTGTGACAGAACATATCGGTGACGTTCGCGTTTCCGTGTGCCGCGCGATAAATGGACAATAAATAGAAATCATTTGTTAATACGATTTTTTTCGAATATTATAAATTTTTTTTCGCATATTTTGGTATTTTCAATGCATGATCAAGCGTTGTTTGAATATTTTTAAGAGCATATCATTGCGCTTACAACAATTTATAACAACCTTTATCAGTGCTACAAGCATGGGCTCTGATTATAATTGCATTCAAAAGTAATATTAATTACTATCCTTCGGTACATGTTTTTACCGGTCGCAAAATCATTTAAAACATATCGTTCACATGATCCGGACATCGTGTTAAAAAACATGTTCCGAAAATGCGGGGTATAATTGTTCGAATGGAAAACTGCAGTAAATAACAAAAATTAGACGGTCCGCGCGGCACGAATACTGGCTGTTGGCCCCCGAGATACGTCCGCCATGAGTTGTCGAGCCGCAACGCGTCGCTGCGATGATACACTTATTAGAAAATGCCGCTAGAGACACTAGTCGTGTCGCGGACAGTAATACGAGTACGATAAATCCTATGTATACATATACATATGGAGGCATTATCACACATAAATAATAGTATTATATATGATTCGATTAGACCGTTTGCGTTAACAAAATCAATGTAATGCAAAGACAAAAAGCAACAGATGAGCGTGGACGGCGAAACAGTGCAGCCAATGTATGTAGCGGCTAATTTTTCACGAACAGTAGATAACGACGAACGCTGATCGATGACCGTCGCCATTAATCGTAGTGTCACCAGGCAGCTACAACCATTCGGTTTGTAACCAACAAGTTCGTGCCCAAAATTGTCAGAAGATTAATTGCGTTTCTCATTCTCAATCATTCTTAATCATGGATCCAGGTACGTAAACGCTTTATTATAGTTGTACACCACCATCATTTTCTTATGCCGTTGATTGTTTTATCAACAATTATTATGACTCGCCCACTGTTTAATTGTATCTTCTGTTTCTTTCTATACACTGCACGCGGTTTTCTGTGAACCAAACAGTTGGCGTCCGTCGTTACTACTACGTCGCGAACCGTCGCCCGTTCTTATTGTTAACCAATTCCCGGCGTAACGCGCATTCGCGCGATAGCCGCTCTATTACGTTTTGCACACGCCTTCGTTTGGCGAGACGTATTCGTCGCGTCACATATTTAATGTTGCGTTTCATGTGACTTGCCGTTTATAGCTAACAAAATCGTCATTATTTACGTCGGCTGACGCCTTTTTTTTCCGTTCGGGTTGACTGATAGCGATTCACCGGAGCCGTTTTTCGAAACGACAAAACTATTTAGACTTGTATTAACTGCTCCACAGCAACTATCATGAGTGCGGTCCCAACTGTAGGTAAATTTTTATTTTTCCGATTATTAGATTCTTTCATTACCCAATTATACCTTAAACATTTTTAAGGTATTGCAACATTCATAGGAAAATCAACATTAACAACATTATTTTGGTACATCAAGTGCGACTGATTGTTTAGTGATTTTGGATTGCTTAATATATACATTGATACCACCTTATTCTATTCTGAGGTGTTAACTGTGCCTTTTGTTAATAATTTGTGAAACAAGTACAGGTTCATTATTCGTCACAATACTATGTACAAAAACGTATATATGGGTTTTGCTGTGCAAATATTTAGGCTTAGTTCTTGTTTTAAGTTTATTAAATTTGTTTTTAGATAATTAACATAACTGTATAATTCACTATGCTATAGTGTCACCACTTATACCATTATCATAATATTCTTTCTAATTCTTTTAAGTTAATTTTAAGTATCGATTTAAACATTACAGTTACCTTGGCTCTGGTTGTTCTTAATAGATATTGTTGTGTGCCATGAACTCAATGGTTCTCGTGTTGGAAAGAGTGGAAAGGGTATTTCAAATTCAACTCAACTTTAAATTAAATATTATTTATTGTAAAATTAATTTCAAAAATGCAATTTCAAAACTTAATTTAGTAATAAAACTAGGATACTGTTTGAAACCCCCTTATAAATCCCGATCATAACTTATAGCCTATTATGAATTCCTTTTTGTTTATTTCTCATCATTGTCAATTCAGTATTTACACATACATCAAAATTTGACAATTGATATACAATTTTATATTTGTGACTTGTGTTTTAATTACTTTTATATGCTCAACCCTGGACTATACATAATTTCTGATTGGTTAAACTCAGAATTTTGCTATTCGTGAAAATACCATTCACGTGTCTTAAAAATTAATTGATGTTAGATTATTGTGTGATTTGTATTAGTGTATAATTTTATTCATTGTACTACTATTGCCTATATGTAACGATTATAACAGGATTTTTTTAATGATTTTTGCTGACTGCACAAATGTATTCCTATTCCTAGATTGTTGTAGGGAATTAAAGTACACATATTGTCCATGAATTACCAAATAAATTAGTTATTTATACATTATTGATGCAATATTATTATTTGTAAATTATAATTAGTGATATGTTTATTTTAAATTCAATTGAAAAAATGAACTAGGTAATTTTTTTTTTATTATTTAAATAATTTTTGTTTTACACTTTTACTTAAAATAATAGTATGTATAGTAAAGACTAATGAATATTATTAACAATTTTAAAACAATTTTTTTTTTTTTTTAATCCACTGACAGTTTCAGAGTTGGATTATACTTTACTATCACTATCTGAAGTCACTTGGTCTGCTTTTTGGAATAATTCTGTGTTATCTGGTCTATTAATATTCATTATATCTTTCATTTTCATAAAATGTATAACTGCTTTTTTTATATCCCAATTAACTAATGCTGGCATATAATGAATATATAAATAGTAATTTTCAGTTTCTACTTATATTCTTGCTCTTTCAGAAAATTTTAGTTTGTTACTGTCCACATTTGCACATGATGGTTTAGTTGCCATTATTCTAGCTAATAGCTAATGCAATTTTTATGTTACAATATTCATTAGAAGTACATAATGGTTTAACTAAATCAGAGAGTTTCATGTTTCTACACTTCATAATATCTTCAGACATTAAAAGCTCTTGGTATTCTTGATTGAAGAGCAGTAAATTTAAATCATTGTATAATATATTGACACAATTTATTTTTATTTGAAGTTTACACAATTATATTATCCTATATAATAAATATAAAATAACAATGAGGAGTTTTTGTTGCACTGCACAATTATTTTTCTCATTGCACAAAATGTGTCTTACTGCACACTAAAAAAAACTGGATTATAATAAGAATTATTCAGATGTTCTAAATACTATTTTAAGTAGGCCCCAGCTCTTTCCTCTTTTATTTTCTAATATAAAACTAGTTTTTTTCATTATGCTCTGATATTTATGTGAACAATATTAAGTGTTTAGCTTAAATTTCCTCATTCGTTAAATCCTTTATGTATTAAAATTATTCTCTTACAAAGATTTTCAATATTAATTGTACAATTCAACTGTGAAGTGTAGTTATATATATATTTTACATAATTAATATTTAGATAACTATAAAATATATTATCTATACCTACATCATTAAATTTTGATAAATTTTATTTTCCTTATAATCTGAATTTTTCAGTAATTTTGTTTTTAATTATTTCTCCTTAAGTACCAAATTACCTCTATTCTAGAATTTAATATTAATAGTTCCTAACATAGTATTAACTTTGTTAAGGAATTAAAAACATTTTTAACAGACTAGTTTTTTTTTTTATAAATTATAAACAACACAAACAATATCTAATTTTTAATTAAATTTTAAATTATAAATTGAAAACTATTAATGCATACAAGTATTTAAATTGCATGTATTGATTTTTAATTTATAATTATATTAAAATAATAATGGTTACTAGTTACATGATATATGTAATAGCAATAATATATTGTTCTGTATTATTGAATATACAGTGTTAAACAGTATCTAGATATTTATGAAATGTATTAAATAAAATTAAATAATTTTCTTGACTAATCTACAATTTAATTTATGAGTTTTAAACATGTTAAAACCTTGTTTAGAGTGTAGTATTTTTTTTTTTTTTTTTGATTTAAACTACCAATTATTTTCATGTTTAACAGTATTGCCATTGTTTTTGTACTGGTCTTATAACCCATGTGAATAAATATTCTTCATTGGACAATGTTCTGTAAGTGTCATATCAGTTTTATACTGGGCTTATGGACAGTGTTATTACAGTTCAATGTTTGATTAATTTAACTGTACATCAGAGGTGAAAGCAGTTAGGTTAAGAAACACCATGCTCTCCAAAAAAAAAATTATATATGTTTTAACAGTTTATTATTATTATTATTATTTATTATAAGAATTAATTAATTGCAAATTTATGAGTATATATATTAAATAAAATCATAAATATATTAATATATAATAAATAAATATTTTATTTTTTATTTTATTAAATATTTTGTCTTTAATATCTGGTAAAAAAAAAAAAAGATTGTGGGATAAAACAGTTTTCTCTGCTTCTTAACATCTCTCCATAAAATGACGACTGGGTTTTATGAAAGCATTATTTTTAATATTTACAATACTAGTAATATAACTTGTTGCCTCTTATAGAATTGGTATTAGTCTACTTATAGATTGTATATAATCATGATATTGTTCAACTTTATTTTAATTCTTAATTAAACTTAATTTTAATATCATAAATTATGATACAATCAGGCCCTACATTAACCACAGACATTTGGGTGCTATCAAGTATTGCAACATAATTGCCATACTGTGAACTAAACTAATTTCATTATGGATAATAATTGTTTATAAACCAATTTAAATTGTTTTATACTGTATAGTTTCTTGATAATATTATTGTATATTTCAAATTATTTTTCATCAAATGCCGAGCAGTAAGAAATTTTAGAATATTTACTTCTGAATTTGAGTTTATGTATCATTCATTGTGAAACAAAACTCTGCTGTAGCATCAATATCTTTAAAATCATCATATCCTAAAGATTTGAAAAAATTAAGACCATTTCCTACATTATTATTCAACACTTATGTAAACTTAACATTTATTTTTTTATTTTAATGAAATATATGTTTATTTGTGTTGCAGCTTAAATCCTTCATTATTTTTTTTGAAACCCAACATTTTGATGTGGTACATCTTATTTATTTCTTTCTTGATTAAACAAATCCCCCATATCTCAGTGTTTCTAATCAGCTTAATCATATAAATCAAGCAAGTATCATAAAAAATATATAAGGTCTTGTTATTGTATGGATTTTCTGAGCTAAAATTTAATTCATCTTTTATATCAAATGAAGCTTCAAATTTTGAATACATTTTACCATTATTGTAAGCTCCATCAAAAGTAATTGAATGAACTTTGGCACCCGGATCACCCATGTGAATTATACAACATTTTAATAAATCATTCCTTTCCATTTATGTTTTTTTGAGGTTTAATTTAGGTCCGCTACATGAAAATAGCCTATTAACATTTTTTAAAGATCCAATTACTCCTATAGCCTTAAAATAAGTGCATTTTTTGTTTTATCCAATTGGTCATTTTCTGGGTCAATATTAGTACCCATATCAACAAAGCCATGCTTTTTTGTTCCATTCCATTGAATTTTTTCTCTTATGTTCATCTCTTGATCGTGTATGACACGATGGCCTTTTGTTTAAGCTTCGACATTTTCTGTCCTCTTTACTCTTTCTCTTAATCAAACCGTACTTAACTGACTTTCAAATTCGCCTGGGGTTTTGCACCTCCGAAATGGCTTCTATAAATGCAGGAGTACCCCAAGGAGGCATTTTATCCCCAATACTATTCAATAAATCACACATCCATATCAAAACAGTAACAACT